CAGTGTGCAACAAAAAAGGCCTGATTTGTAGCAGATGGGGAGCTGGTTTTGCTACCACGACAATGCATCTGTTCACGTAGCCATCTCAGCGCACCAGTTTTAGGCAAAAAACAGCATGCCTCTCTTGTCCCACCGACCTTACTGGCCTGACCTCACTCTCTGAAACGTTTTGTTTCCGTGAATGAACAGGGGCATGGAAGGGCAGCGTTTGACAACAGAGAAGAGTAAAGTGAAAAACGAGGGAGGTGCCATCCAAACAGATGAGTTTGAAAAAGGTTCCCACGAATGGAATCTCAGATTTGACAGATGTATTGTCATGGAGGGTACTTTGAAGATAATAAGGTTGTTCTATCCAAAACTACAAAGCTTGGGGGTGGGGTAGAGGCCCATTTTTGGAGGGTACCCCCTTGTTCAGACAGGCAAAATGAAACTAGGATCTCTTTGTTTCTTAGCAACAGAGAGTCTTGTAGGCAGAGAAATCAGTATCAGGGGAACTTTTAGGGACACCTTGCAAAAAAAGTCTGAGGATCAATGATTTAGACAAGCAAGCTAAATAAACAAATGCATGCTAGAACACATGTCAGAAAAGGAGAAAAAGGTTTTTATTTACCTCACTATCAGCAGATACAGGATACTACGGGGAGACATGGGCTAATGTATTTTCATTTATCATAATTATTAACATTCCTAGCAAATCCTCCTCTTTTATTTTTACACTTCGGCTGATGTCCTTTGCCATTAAGGCACCTTTGACTCATCTTTCCTTTCTGTTAACTGGCATGTGTTCAAGGAAGACAAGCCAAATTGACAACAGCAGACAAAAATGAAACAAAATGTAGAAAGGCCAACTAACTGTAGAAAACTAATGTAAAAGAAAGCCCCGGATGCATGTTTCTGGGCTGTTGCTACGAGGGGTGTGTCTATGAAGCCACGGCTCACTGCCCGAGGGCATTCCACCTCAAAGCGGCCCTGGGGGACAGAGTAGAACTGCCCCTTTGGTTTCCTAGACTTTATATCTTTACGGGAGCAGAACCTTGTCTTTCTCCTGCAGAGCAACTAGTGAGTTCAAACCGCTGACCTTGTGGTTAGCAGCTCAATTCATAACCCACGAAGCCACCACGGCTCAGCAGTAGTCCCCAGAGCTTACACCAGTTGCATGAGAACAACCTAAGCCACTTGTGAAAGAGAGTCACGTACTCCGCTCCTTCGAATCGTATTCTCTAGGACTGGCACAGAGGCACATGAGCTATATGACTGTTGCTCTTCAGTAACATAAACAAGAGAGGACTTTATCTACGCAGACTACTGCTGTCTCCTCTTTTAAAAAAGCAAACAACATAGGAGAGGAAAATTTAAACTCAGAATACTGAGGTAGGGGCCTTGAGCCATTGGTTTCCACTGTACTGAAGGCACTACATTTCTCTGAGAAATTTATTATAATTCTCTTGAGAATGCGAGCTTTCCTTTTTCTCAGAAAAAAACAGGTAAAGATTAGAGCTTTTAAAAGGGGAAAGGAAAATGATGAGGGCAACAAATGTACAAATGTGCTTGACACATGGAAGGATGGATGGATTGTGATAAGAATTCTACAAGCCCCCAATAAAATGATTAAAAAAAAGGGAACAGGAAAAGCTTGGCTCCTAGTCTTTCATAGGCTACTAGGCAATTCATACAGTTAATGAAGGTGCAAGAGCTTGCTAACCAAAAAAAAAAAGAAAAGAAAAATGAGAAAGAAAGGAATCGGTGGCAACTAAGAAGGAAGCCAGCCCATTTCCTCCAGGAGGGAAGCAGCACCGCTGGGGGCGGGAAGGGCGACTGCTGCACTGTTTGCAGGGACTGACAGGCAGGGAGGGAGCGTTACAAGGGTGGCAGGCTTGGCATCCGACAAAACCCCTCAGATGTAGGCTTCGGGTGATGTGGGCTAAGTTTTAAGGTAACATACGGCCACTCAAGGTTTGGACATGTGGTGGGAACTGATGAAGCAGGTGATGACATCGGCACAAGAGGGGCTGGGCAAAGGACGTATGTAACTCCAGCGACCCATCGCAGGTTGTTGTCACCTGTCCACTGCAGACAATCTGAAATTGAGGCCTATTTAGTGTCCAAAGCAATTTGCTACACTGAGACGACCTCCACGTTGGTCCTCCATTACCGAGTCTGCTTGCACACAATGGACAAGCAGATAGAGAATGTCAAGAAGGGCCGAAGTGGCAGGAAGATCCCCAAAGCTGAAATCGGTTCTTCCCTAATTTTTCTACTGCGTGAAAAGCAGGTATGACACTAAGAGCAAGGGTGACGCAGCTGGCTTCTAAGGGTCCAACTGACCTGTGGCTGGGCTGGGGATGGGGCATCAGGGTGTTGGATGAGGATCTGGCTTTGCTCTGGACGGGCCGTCACCATGGTGCTGGCAGTGCCCACCACCACTCCACAGCCACCGTTGACTGAAGAGACCTGATGGGTTAGAGTGGCTTTTAGTCTCTGTGGGAAGAAAAGGGAAAAAGAGGGAAAAGCATGTTAAGAATCAGATTCGCCCAGGGACGACAAGAGTGGGCCTAGATTTTACCAGTGACCTTACAGATAGCAAACATTTCCACATCAATTATCCCTTAAAAGAAAATGACAGGGAAAGAGAATGAGCACCTGGCTCTAAAATGTCTACTCTGTTCGCTGGCTACCATCCTGGGCACAGTTGGAGGGGGTGGGGTGGGGTGGGGGTTGGTGTAAAGTCCAGATGAAAGCTCTCTCCTGGAACCTGGCCAAGTGCTGGTTACACAGCTATTTGCCTCTTGGCCAGCTCCCCTGCCTGCCCACCCACCCTCCATCTGTCACCCTGGAACTAAAACGGCAAGTACTCCAATCCAAACAATCTGTGCTGCCTCTTTTCACTGCCATATCTACGAACCAGACTTTAAAAGTGGAGGAGAAAAGATGGGAGCCATGAATCAGGGTCTTTTCTTTCTCCAGAACCCCTGGCAAAGTGTCCTTAGTTTAGCTTTGTATACCCCAAAAGGTTGCTTTGTACTGCTCATTTGAAAAGCTGAGGCTGTGGGTTTTTTCCTTTCAGGAGGGCCAGAAGTGCTCGAGGCTGGGATATACTTACCATCTTGGCTTCTGATGGCATAGGGTGGCCAGAGGGAGAGACAGAACCACCGCTATTAACTGGTGGGCCAGGGATACCAGGAATGTTGGGTACCATGGACACAGGTCTGGCCAGCTGGATCAAGAGAAAGAAGAAAACCCAGGGTGGGGTATAATACTTTGGGTAGAGAGGTAACTTTCCAAAATGAAGTGCTTTAGAGACTGGCATGTGAGAGTTTGCTCAATGCAACCTACCCATAGGCTATACAGGGACAGCCTGGGAAAGGCCCTTCCCCCCGGAGCACTACCAGGCAGAGAAGCTAATCCTTCAGTAGTGTGACAGACTGAGGCTGCAGCTTGAGGAAAGTGATAAGAAATTTGGGAGGTGCTAAGTGCCAAGTGAAACGAACCCATAAGTGGGCCTGCAAGACTAATTCCTAGACCAAGGGCCAGTTGTCCAGATGGGTCTTTGTCTATTGTTCCATGATGCTAGAGTGGCAGGGTTTAGTGAAGCGTTTGGGCGGGCTGCCACGCTCAACTAATACAGACCAGAGCCCACATTTCCCGGGGGTGCATGTGTGTTTATGCACATTCAGGTGGGAGGGAGGGAGTAGTGTGTTGGTAGGGTTGGCTACACCAACTGCAGAGCTCACCGATATAACAGAAGGCATCTGTACCGGAGGCCCTGGCAGCACAGGCATGGTCTGTCCATTAGCAAGATGCATGACGAGAGGGAGGGAGCCAGTGGGAGACCTAGAGAAGACATGACGCGCAATGCTCATATACAGACGTTTCCCTACACTTCTTCCTCCTGTACTTGTGGCAGATTTTCCAGCCATTTCTAGTTAGGGAAGGGCTAGGGCAGTATTGTGACAATGCAAATCTCATCCCCTCGTGAAGGTGGAAAAAGCAAGGGATGTTATTTATCTAACTTCACAGGTGGAGAAAAAGGGCAGGATCTTTAAACCTTGCAGATTAAGAAATACCACTTAATTCAAATAGGTGAGAAGTTAATCTTACTTGGAGTTTAAAACAATTAAATAAGCATTCACACCAGTACAAATTCTGTCTTGCCTTACATAGGCAGCATTAGAACAAGGCAGTCATTTTGCAAAGCTGAATTATGTCATCTGATGGTCAAATCTGGGTAGGTTTCACTCGTTCCTGTCCATGGCATGCTCTCCCTGTCCCAAAAACCGCACCTGTGCTTTTTTCATGTTTTTGACTAGGTTCAGAGAGCCATGAGCTCTCAGAAACTAAATCCCATCAACAACCTCTGAACCAGTGGGTACCTGGGGACAGGATTTCAAGTCATCCCATCAGGAAATCTGTGTGGACCATGCTAGGAGTGAACAAACAGAAAAAACTGGGAGTGTGGGAACTAAGAATAGTGCTCCTATAAACTTCCGTCAGAGTGAGGCTAAGAACTAAGCACACGTCTTGATGTGGCCTCCATCACTGTGATGAATTTCCTAAAATTACAGAGATTCTTTTACAACAAAGTAGTAGTAAGCCCCAAATTAAGGAAGTACTATGTCCTAAGAAATAGTCACTTGCCTACTAAAAACGTAAAAGCAAGTTCTACTTACGGGGGAAATAAAAACGATTCAAGTCTCAGTGACTACTTTTCCTTAGACTCCTATTTTTTAAAAAAATAATTTTATTGGGTGCTCATACAACTCATCATAATCCATACATACATCAATTTTGTAAAGCACATTTGTACATTCATTACCCTCATCATTCCCAAACCATTTGCTCTCCACTTAAGCCCCTGGCATCAGCTCCTCATTTCCCCCACTCCCTCCATGCTGCCC